GGAAGTGTAGTACGCCACTGGTGAGACTTGTGGGCTGGTTAGTTACACCTAGGTTTAAGGCCTTTTTATCAGTGGAATGTGACACCTTTTCAATTGAATCTAACACTCATGCATTGTAAGAGCTGTTGTGTATATTTAGTATTCTATAACCTTCTAAATTAGTATGAGCAGGATAAGCCTCTGATAGGGCACAGTTTCTGGTAGGGCTTATTTTCTTTTTGGCTGTTGTTTCAAGGTTGGCTGTACCCCTGAGCATCGTCGCATCCACCTCCACTGTACACATGGCACTAGTTCCTTTCCAGTAACATGAGCGTGAGCTCTCGCCAGCTAATGGAATGTGCTTCTGTGGTGGTTGTGGGATTGACTTAAGCTGTGGATGCAGTCATCTGACATCCTTTCAGCCATACCCTATCCATTTCTTCTAAACTTCCTTAGCTCTACAAAGAATTCTAAAAAAGATCTGTTATGCACTGAAAGTTTTAGTAGGACCATGCCCCTGATGAGGATCCTGCAGAACATTAGCGGATTTTTGTCCTGAATATGCGGTGAAACTTTAATGCACTTACATAGAAATGATTCAGTTCCTGACAGAATGTCCCGATAAACTGGCTGCCCCCATTAACCGATGGCCCAATTAAGTGGAATCCACTGTATATATATATATATATATATATATATATATATAGGTTATGGTATTTAGCCATTGATTGGCCTTGTTTTATTGACACTAATCAAAGCACCATAATTTTCATAAGAAGATATTATAGTTGGCCATGAATTGGCATGTCTGGTGTAGCTTAGTGTGGAGGAAGATTCTTGATACATTGTATCATAAGAAAATCATGCATCATTGCTATTTCTGCTTGTTTCATTGAACAAAATACAAGAGGAATGTGTTTGTTGGAACCCGTGCGACTGGAAAAGGGCATCAGGTGGTAAATCAAATTGCTTGGCTGTTCTTAAAAGTCTAATATATATTGGGGAAAATAGGCCTTAACTATTTGGAAGCCTATGCCCATCAAGGAAAGACTAGACTGATGTACCTTGTTTATATTGGATGAACTAGGCTTTGTGATGACTTTTTAGCGCATTAATATGGTTTTTCTGTGCCAGATGTATTTTTTTTTAGGGAAAGATGCCTTGAACCAAAGGTGGAAAAAGTTCTGTAACATGTTAACCAGGTTACTGGGAAAGGTAGCAACCAATCAGGAAGGCATGGCAGGAAGAAAAATAAATAAGTAACAGATAGAAAGGCGAGTGGGAAAGAAGGAAATGTTGCGAGAAGAAAGAGCAGGAAGACAAAAGACGGTCGGAGTGTTCGGGATGCAATATGATAATGGATTGAAGAAAGGTAAATGACGACTGACTGTGAAAAGATGAAGCCCCCAAGAGGCATCGAGAAGTTGATATCGGCGGCACGGGAAGATTAAGCACCTGTGTGAAAACGGGAAGATATTCCCATGTGACTGATATTGGAAGTTCAGGGACGAGGAGATCGATCTTTTCCTCCCGTGCTGAGCGCGTTGACAGGAAGATCTCGGTATTGCGTATTTCCTCAATTCTAGGGTTGTAGGATCTCGCCCTCATGAGGATAAAAGTTGATGAGTGGGGACATCAATCAAATTCGCCTTACTGTAAAATAGAAGTGGCCTTGTCATTGGTATGAAAATGGGATTATAATGTTTAATGCATATTTCATGAGATGAGAGAAACTGATCACCGAATTAGACAGCATCTTGTACCTTGGAAACCCCTTCTTTTTCACTTTAATCAATCAGTCAACAGTCAGCCTCGTGTCATCTGAATTTCCGCTTACAGATTTATAATAATAATATTGATACCCTTCACACCACTTTCAAGCGACCTTATTTGGCCTCAGGGTAGAAAGAATACATTGATCTCCATCCCCCAACGGAGCCCCCTCCAATTTCATCCTGTTCTCAATTCTGCACCTCATGCACGTGGCTCTATGCCAGACCTCCTGGTACATAGCAATTCGTATGTATTGTCAATTTGTACACATCCTGTCGCTGAGAGAATGTCTGTTGGTGTCTAGTGATGGAGTGCCCTAATTGAACCCTTAAACCCTTCGGCAAGCCAAAGAGCTCATAAATCCAGCTCTTGATCTCCATTTTGGAGGAAGAAGTAGCTTGCATTTTTTTGCGAAGAATGCAGCAAGCATTCAAGTTGAACTTATTAGGTGTTTCAGAGGTCATTGACCGACTGAATAGACAGAGGGGAGGCTTGGAGTATAAATTCAATAAAATCAAGATTCCAGTTGAGAAATGAAAATATTGATGGAAGTGTTTCTCTGCAGAAAAACCTTTAGAGACCCTTTCAAATGACATATCTTCAATTTTATTAAATGCCAAGGGCTTCTGAATGACTGCACCTCTGTGCACTCCCCATTAGATCTTGCTTGGGGCTTACACATAGGCATTTTCATCGAATCAGAAGTGGTGGCTTAAAATTGATTTCTTGCCAAACATCCCCCCCATTCACCTATGTTCAGTCCCCTAACACAGGGTCACTTCACAAACCTCCTTAACTGGGAAGGTAAACAATGGTTACTGGGAAGCAGAAGAACGTTTTCCACTTATGCTTTGAACATACCATAGAAGAACTTGTATAATGTTGAAAGTAGTTTGAATACACTTACAACTAGAGCTGTAGCAATGGGCAATTTTTTCCTCATAACCATCAGCTGCTGCCGGTGTTGGTGCCGATTATGGCTTGTAGATGAAATTGCCCATAAATTCTAATAGGTCTGCTTGGAAGCCATGTGATATGTATTAGTAGGCCTCCTTGAAAAAGTAGAGACCATTTTTGGTCCTTTCCAGCCTGTCTGTCTCTCTATAAGGCTGTTAGTGGTTAGCTTGTTACCCATTGCTGCTGTAGAGAGCTTTTAGTGATACATACATTGAAATTTATGACATAAATGAAGATGCCATGATTTCCTGTTCTTTACTTTACCACTACCTTTCTCCACTGGTTCCTATAATCAGGCTGGAATAGAATCCAATTCATATTTTTGTCTGGGAGAGGCTGATAGGAGTGGCTTTCAGTGAGACAGGTGGGCCGGGGCCTAGCCGCTTTCACATCCTCACAAAATTTTTTTCCACTTTGCCTGTCCTTTGGGCACCAGCACCATAGACTGATGGCACTGGTACCAGTGTTAGCCAATACATCAGTACAGCCCTACTTACAAGTCATTGTAGCAGTAGTCAATTCTTAATCTAGACCTTATGTATGATTGGAGACTCAATTACTCCTGGCAAGTACAGTCACTTACACAACTCTCCAAGTAGTGAGCTAAACAGTAACATTTTGGTTACTATTAGTTGAACAGACTGATCTTCCATAGTGAGGTGTGAGTTGACTCCACTTTACAACTTTGACAGATTTTCTGGATCAATATTAATTTTTTTATTTGATTTTTTCTCCATACCTGTAATTTGTATCTCTTCAAAAGATGGGTAGCTTTAAAGATTTCAGGAGAATGTTTCCCAATTCATGATTGAAAAAATGAGAGCAACCTGGAAAAGTAGTCATGTAGAGTGAGATGAATCCACTTTTAAATACTAGATGTTTCATTCAGAAATAAGATGTTAAGAACTTGTATATAAGTACCTATTTATAGATTATTGTATGCACATTCTTAACCTATACCTTATACAATTATATATATTTTTTATTAACTTATTCATTTATTTCATTTAATAATCTTTATCTCTATATATTTATGGTATCATATGTTTTCTGATTAAATACTATTTACCAGTTCCTCTAATAGCACTCACATACATATTGCAGAAAAACAACTGAAAATTTAAAAGTATTAAAAAGTATTCCCATAAAAGTATTGCTGGCCATCTACTGGCAAGACTTGAAGCAACTTAGAATTGTTGCAGAAAATTCAAATTTTCAGTCCTACAAAATAGGCTTATTTTGAACATGAAAAACATGGCTGATGATGTAATAGTAGATTATAGTTTATTATTAATCAACTATTTTATGTAAGACAGTAATATGAAATGTGTCAATTTCAACTCAAAATACTTGAGAAAGAATACAAAAGAATTCATGAAAAGCAATGGAAACTATAGTTTTTGTGGCTACTCAAATCTTTCTTTGTTTTTGGATTCATCTCACCCCCTCCCCCCGCCCCCCAGGGATCTACTTGCCCCATTCTAAAGTACTTCACTTGCATGTAGACACCTAAGGTAGTATGTACATAACTGTGTTGTGGGAGCAGTGAAGTGGCCAAAAGCATGTGGTGGGGGAAAATGGGAAATTAAAGAAATAAACTACAAAGGGAGGAGAAAATTGAAGAGTTGGAAAAGGAAGACAAAGAACTGATTTCAGTGGGTAATCATGGTTATTGACTGAAATAATTGCTCTAACTTGTGTATGGGTATATATAAAGCCTGACCACACACTGGTGAAGCATTCTCTAAATGTGTATCATACACACTTCATTGGATGGACTTCAACAAGTTTAACATATTGAAGCTTGCTTTACTAGTGGACAGTGTCTACTTGTTCACTATGTGTTCCATCCAATGAAACATGGATTACACATGACTCTCTGATAATTTTTCACCCATGTACTGTTGGGCTGGGCATTCTGAAGACTCTGCATGAACATGCACACAGCCTGATCTCACAAAATTCTGGGGTAAGCCAACCTTTTTATATTTGGTCATTTCATGTTGTCTGACCAGTTGGTTACAATGGTTGGTCTTAAGTTGGTTGGTTGACAAGCACACTGTATCCTATCATAATGACAGAAAATCTTCATAGCAGTTATTCTTGCCTTATGCTAAGTATGTAAAGCAGACATCAAAGTGTGTTCCTAATTAGTAGATGAAAATATGCCAAAAAAGATTTGAAGGAAAATAAAATTTTTTATCCATCATATGGAGTGGTCCTTGGTTTAGATAAGTTTATGCTTTCTACCAGATGCCAAAGCATCCATCTCGATGTTCCTGTTTCTATTTCATTGCAGGTTCTGTATTGTATGAATTTGTAGTTTTTTTTTTGTGAGTCTGTGGCATTCTATGACTGCTTGAAGAAGAATTTTTTTAATTTCATCACCAGTAGATCCACCCAATCCACTTGGAAGTCCTTGAAGTCAGCAAAATGCCAAAGCCAGTGAGTTTTAAATTTTCTTTTGGCCTGATTGTCTCCTGTTCTTTTATAAATTTTAATTGAATGTGTTTTTGCTATAGATTTTTTCAAGAATAAAATCAACATAGTTAAATATTTTCTCTCAGGAGCTCATTATAGTAATCACAGAGCAACTGATAAATTAGGTTTCAACCTTCCTGGCATCTTTTTCCCTTGTGATTATGAGTAAAAAAAATGCATATCTTGGATCTGAAATTTGATATCTTTCAAGTTCTAAGTACAGTATTTTAAAAGTAGTGACAGTAACTAAGCTTGCTGCTTACTTTGTTTCTTAAAACAAAAGCATTATATGCCTGCATCAAATAAAATCAGACTAGATAATTTTCACAAATGCTCTCCTTTCTCTATTCTCCTTCCAGCTTATTGTTAGCTTGAGTAAGTCAGTTTTGAATGGCTACTGTAAAATTGTGAAAATATCATGTTTGGGACATTGTTTATTTAAATTCATCCAGAGCAAATGAGTCTGGTTTACCTGATATGGTTATCATATTATGCATTTGCTGCATATGAGGATTTGGTAGATACCTTTGAAGTAAATGCTTTATGAAAATTGATTTGCAAGGTGGCTCATGAAATGTTTTCTGATTATGAATTATTACTCAGATTGGAATATAGATAGATGCCTGCAACAGCTATTACTTGAAAGGGAAGCTCAAAATTTTTTCATGAAATAGCATGACATGCTCACAATGCTGCCCATCTCATTTGCTGCAAATTAAAATCTACAAAGCTTAGTTTACCGTAGTAGGATGGAGGAGTCAGCTGTAATTCCAGCAATGCTACACATTATTTCATCTTTAAGACCTGCAATGGTCTGAGGTTTCCATCTGGGTGTAAGTGTCCTTTACATGTCACTAAGGAAAAAAATCAAATGAGTAAATTTCAGGTGAGTGCACTAACAGTGGAATGTGAACTTTATGTGGGGTCTGATGTTTGGGGATTTGTTATTCTGCCAGATCATACTCTGATCAGGTGTATAAGAATATGGCCCCATACTCTTGGGACCATGTGCATGTTTCACTGTGTTCAGGTCCCAGCAACAGACCTATTCATGGGTCAATGCACATTAAAATGTTTTGAAAAGCTTGGCTTTTCCTATTTGAATATGCAGTGAACAAAGCTGGCAGCACCATGAGCTGAAGCTTATAACACAGTTTGAAGAAAATTTGAAGCATTTTTGTGAACCATCCTGTACTCTTCAGTAAAAGAGAGTGAATGTGTTTCAGTCACAATTACCATGTCTATATGAATATGCTGGGCTATTGTGAACAGTCATCCGAAAAAAAGATTGATTTCATAGCCTTTTCGAATTTGAGATTTATTCATTATTTTAGAATTCAGAACATGTCTGTATGCTATGTAATTAGCCCCCTCGTTTATGGACCACTACGTTCCAGCACTTCGTTTTGAAATTGTTGCTCGGTGGAAGTATTGCGATGACTTATTTTGTGTTTTTTATTTTCAAAGTCCAGGTCTCCTCCCGTTTGTGTTATAGATGATACTACTCTCATTTAAAACTCCATTCACGATTGAATAGAAGGCTTGATTCATTTCATTCAGGCAAGGTTTTATCTCTCTGCTTTTTGTCCGTTCGATAGAGGACTAGAGGGCCGCAATATCCACACCATTGCTGAACAGGTGCTGCAAGGCTTGAGGTAGAGGTGCTTGTTAGACATTCCGCACTGCGGTGCAGCTTGAATGTGGTGACGAGTTGTATTTGTGCAGAGTTGCGCGCGTATCCCGCGGGGAGTGAGAGGCCGGGGAGGTGAGGTGTATAGTGCTTGCTGTGCTCCTCGGCGGTTAGCGTTGAGTCATTGGCGGGATGTGACGTCATTAGAGAACCGGCCTGCACTCTCTCCACTCGTCTCGTCTTTTCCGCCATTCTTTATCGTGTGTGCTTACCCGTCGTAGTCCGGCCTGCCTACCTCCGCTCCGTTTCTCGTCTTTCTCCTGTGTCGCCAGCATTTATATGAGAAAGGGGCATTATGTTTGCGATCGTGTGTCTCTGCAATTGTATGACATAAACCACGAGTGCTAGACCGTAATCTCTGAATTTAAAAGGAAGCTTATCATCCCCCCTCCTCTGTCTCCACTTCATTCGTCATTCTTCCTATCATCGAGGCCTTAACGTAGCACTTACGAGTGAGGCATTAGGCCTAGAGATTGACGTTTTTGTCAGTCCGAACCCGTGCTTCACCGCAAGTTTCTTTTATTCCCTCCTGGAACAAAGCGAATATAGTTTGAACGAAGGTGACCGATCGTGTATTGGCGATATCGACTCTCGAGGGAAAAAAGCTGTGAAGGCGAGAAGTGAAAATGGTGAATTCGGTGAGTCTGACTACTCGGTTTAACACGTTTCCTGGAAGGAGACGTGAGAAACCCAGCCTTTCTTTCCCTCCCATTCCCACGAATGATTAAAAACGTGGCGGCATGACAGGGGGTCGAAGATGATGAATGCACATCCTAACGTAAATCGAAGGCTTGGTTTCAGTGTATTTGTTTGAACGTCAGGTCTGTCCGGCCTAGGCATGGATATAGTAGATTAGCTGACTCTTGCAATGCCGTGTAATGTGAAGGGGATTCTTCTTGCGACGAGAGCCTGCACTTAGTTATCGTGCAATTGCCCTGGGATTAACCTCAATGATAACCAACTATCAGCCTTGGAAGATGGGTAATGTCGCCTTTCGGGAAAACATGGAGACTCGGGCTTAGGCCTAGGTAATCGAAAGTGTGAATGTTAGTCCGCCCCTTGAATTGAGACGTGTCCGGGCATGGGATATTCTCTCTACGTCTCATGGAAGCCCAATACGCATTGGAAAGAGAACCCTCTTGTGCGATAACAGTAGTCTTCCCCCCCCCCCCCCCTTCCATGTCCTGTTTCCAGTCACTCAATCCTGCTTCTTTCCTTTCGAATGAGTTCGAGCCATTCCAGGGCATAGCGAAGAGGGAATGGAATTGAGTCAACATTGTCTGTTAAGGAATGGCGCAAGAGAAGTGAGTGGCTCTTGTTGACATTCCGAGATATGTCCTCACTTCCGCTCAGATTTATCCTCCCCCCATAAATCCGTAGGCTGAAGCAATTTTCCTTGGATGTTTTTGGTCAAATGAGAAGCCAGATGCTACTGGCGATGGTGGCAGCAGTCGAGACTGAATCATCTATCCACACTAACCACACACCTGTTCCCGCTCCGCTAGCATTGCATGGTGAACTAGAACTCACCATTTCATCAGCCCCATACGAGTATTTTTTTTTTGTCGCCCACTCTGTTTGGATAGGCTGTGATGCAACCGAATCTGCTGCATTTGATATATTCTATCATCTTCCGTTTTTATGTCGCAAGGGGACTCTCACGTGAGAGGGAGGTAGGGGAAAGGCAGATTCCATTGGGTTGCGCCTGTGAAGACTAGGGGGAGGGGAGGTAAACGGGATAGGAACTAGTTGAAGGAACACTGGTCTCAATTAAAGGCTGGGAAAGAGAAGCGGTGCATGGCGGGACCCCGAGGCCATTCCTCGCCCATCGTCCTCTGTGCCCAGACCTCCGGAACCAGATGTTCTCCTACCTTCGATCCTTCTCTCCATCACGCATTACACAATTTTAAATGCAGCACGGGCAGATCGACGAAGAGAGGAATCAAATTCGGTAGTATTTAATAAAATTGGAAGGCTTCAATCTAATTTGTTTACTTAATGATTCATTGAACAAGCCAGCGACAGATGACCCATGTTCTTAATTGGCCATCGTTTGGGTGTGGGAGTTTGGAATGGTTTTTTTTTCTTCTGAAGAAGCAACTCGGGATCTTCTGTAAGGGAAGGAGGACGACCCAGTTGTGAAGCGGGATAAAGGTCAGATGTCTTGTCCATTGGATCCAGGGATATCTGATATCTCTTCTCTCGATCAATGGGCGGAGATTTCCTTGAGTCCAAGTCATGCATGCATGGTCACTGCCCCCAGAGACTTTATGATCTCTGCTAGATGCCAATCCAACGCCATGCATCATGAATTCTCCTGAAATTTCCTTTCCGATTTGCATTTGACACTGTCCTTTTCACTGACCGATAAGGAATAAGACGGAACATTCTCCGATTTCAGTTACCTTGGTCATTGCATGAAAATTTGGTCATCAAATGGGTGCTGTTTATTTTTCTCCTTATATTTTCGAACACGAAGGTGAACGTTCGCGTGACGACGATGGACGCGGAGCTGGAGTTCGCGATCCAACCGTCGACGACCGGCAAGCAACTATTTGACCAAGTGGTCAAGACCATTGGACTGCGGGAAATATGGTTCTTTGGCCTCCAATACACCGACTCTAAGGGACTCCCTACTTGGCTGAAGCTCAACAAAAAGGTGACATACTTCTTGTCCGCTGATAATCTATCGCAGTCATAATGCTTGATAAACAAGTGAAAGCAAAGAAAATTAATAATTTTCTTATTTCAATTTTATTTATGGGTTCCATGTGGCCATACGTAGTTAACTTGAAGAGTGGGTTTTTATAATGTAATTTTTTGTTTTAGATGCGATTAAATTAACGAGAATGTGGTCAAGGCCGAAGGACCAAGCGCAATGAATAAGCGGATATAGATTTGGCCAAAGTCACCTTGCGGATGCCCAAGGTGACTGACTGCATGAAATCCGCTTTATTTTCCCATGATCTAACAGCACGACACTAGCGGGAAGGCATGTTAGAACGTGGGCCGAACGAAGATGGACTTGTGTGGCGTGCCTCACGTGGACATGGAAGAACGGTTTGTCCTCGTTGAAGCAATCAATCATGGACAATTCCCTTTCCAATCCCTCTTCATAGACAATCCGTTGCCCATGAAGAGGAGCTTGTCCTGTTTGCTCAGATCATGGGTTGGCTAAACGACGACAGATTTCATTTTGCTCGAATGCTTCTCTCTGACGGCAGGGGATTCCACGGCGTTGACTCATTCATGACCTACAGGAAAGGAATTCCTGGGTTATCGAGTTGATTCCCATAAAACTTGACGAGGACATGGTTCGTACTTGCCAGCTTTCTGTATAATCCCTATCTCGGTCGGAATGCCTGGTGAGAGAGACGAACGCGTGATGAGGCAAAAAATAAAACGAGATTAAGGCGATTCTCGTATCATAATGACAGGGAAGAAGATGGAAGTCAACATGGTCAGGTGGAGAGACACGTGCAAATATGCGGTGACGTCATCCGCACCCGCATCTTCTGCTCCCTGATGATGTCACTTGCATCATCCGGCAGGGGGCGACTCTGTCTAGCGCATAGATCACGTTCCTTAGATAGGGTTTCACATGCCATCATCTGGTCTTTCTCTCCTAGCATGCACCATTACGAACCATATGGAGAACTGCCCTCCTGCAGGATTGCACCAAGGCAAAGTAAGGCGTCCCTTACTTTGCCTTGGTGCAATGGTGGTTCTTTCCTGCAATATGGGCCATGATTTTTTTGCCACAATTGCAAGATTTAGCAGGTGGATTGCACCAACTTTAATTACTATGAAGAGGAGAGGATAATAAAATGTGCAGTTCAATGTTGCTTACCAGGAGGATACTATTTGTATTTCACTTGAGGGTGAGATTATCAGCATGTTAGAGCTTTGATTGTAAAGGAAGTCGAGAATTACAAATAGGTAAAATGTCTGAAACTGAACCTGAAGCACACCTGTAGATAATGTCAAGATGGGCATGCAAGCTAGAAACTGAACTATAGTAATCTCCATACATAAACTTATTTTGTTATTGTTTCTTTGCAATTTTCATGTTATTATTACCAATTTTTCTTCAATGAAAGAAGCCATTTGTATTAGAAATTTCAGAGAAAATTTCTTGCTATCGTATTCATTGAAAGGTTATCCATGGGTAGTCATTTTGGCAACACTGCTACTTTTGTTCAAGCTACTTGCTCTCTAAGTTAAGAGTTGCATTGCCCAACTATGTGGAGAGCTAGACTTCATGTGTCTTGTTTATTGTATGAAATGGCCTTTTAATGTGAAAGCCCATTAAAGAAAGTCACTCTTAGTCTTCATATTTAAAAGGTAAATAAAAAGTCTTCTAGCAGTGAAAAAGGAGAGTCTTGTATCACACCTTCAGGTATTGAGCCAAGATGTAAAGAAGGAGAGCCCTCTACACTTCCGATTTCGAGCCAAGTTTTATCCAGAAGATGTGGCAGAGGAGCTAATCCAGGACATCACACTGGTGAAATTAATCTTCCTTCCTGTATACTTTTTTGCTTCTTTAGATCTCTTATGATTTGTTTTCCATGTTTAGCGACTCTTTTACCTTCAAGTGAAGAGTGGCATTCTGTCAGATGATATCTACTGTCCACCAGAAACGTCCGTACTTCTTGCTTCCTATGCCGTCCAGGCCAAATATGGTGACTTCAATACAGATGTCCACACGCCAGGCTTTCTAGCCAGTGATCGCCTTCTCCCTCAACGGTGACAATAATCTCTCTCCATGAATATATATTGGATGCATTCAGTGTGTGAAGGTTAGAAACACCTACTTTTTTTTGGTAGGGTGATGGACCAGCACAAGCTGAGTCGTGAGGAATGGGAAGACCGCATCACCAATTGGTACAAGGAGCACAAGGGCATGCTCAGGTTAGTTTCTCATTTATTTGAAGCATTTCACAAGTAGTGCATTTTTTAAATACTTCATTTATCAGCCGATTCTGCCTCATGGACAATGAATGCCTGCAGCTTGTCTTATACTTGAATGTTGCTCCTTGACGTCTTGTCTTGAGCCAGACCAACTTTCATGCGATCTAATTTTGATCTGATTTTCGTTTCATGGAAGGAGATGAAAAAGGTAGTAGGTAAGACTCATTGACATTGAGACACATTTGGATATCTTTTGTGGGTGAGCGATGGAATATTCAAAGATAAATAATCCCCAGTTAGAAAACTCCTGACAAAATCCCATAGACAAACAATTTAAAAAATTGTATTTCCTGTATATAATTTTTCTTTAGATCCCTCAAAAAACACCCGAACTACTTATTTATGAACATGACTTTTCGTTCAGGGATAGTTCAGTTTTACTTAAACCACAATCAAAAGTGATGACAAATTGTGTTATATTCGAGAATAAAAAATAAGGATGCTGATGTCAAAGGTTCATGACAAAGAGAAGAAAATTTATGTCATTAAATTTTATTTTTTTGCCAAGGTTGAATGCAATGCCCTAGAGGAAAGTTTCAATTGTGGTGGTCAACTGCAACAGCTTTCTACATTGACTTCAGCATCATTTGAACTTTGGCTCGGTCAGGAGCATGACAATGCTCACTAATCTTACAAATTTGACCATTGGTCACTTTGCATGGACTTTGCATTGAATTACAGCATACTGTCAAACAGTTTCTCATGATTTCTTTCTGCGGAGAATGAATATGTAGGTGTCCACAATCAATTTGTCTCTTCCCTTCTGAGATGGAATGTACTACTTATCACAAGCACCACCTCATGCACACTGGCAGAAGAAGTGACTGCTTCATGGGTGATTGAGTTACATCAGTCAGAAGAGAAATCTGCCAGTTGAGAAGAGCATTTTATCAGAGGAATAATCTGTCTAGTGGAATATTAGTGTGGAATATTTTGAGAGCATGAAGAAAAGTCTGACAATGAGAGTCAGGAATTTTTTTTCATTTGATTATTCTGTGTGTCATTTGTAGAGAGGAGGCAATGATGGAGTATCTCAAGATTGCACAGGACCTGGAAATGTATGGGGTGAATTACTTTGAGATTAAGAACAAGAAGGGCACTGATCTCTACCTGGGAGTAGATGCATTGGGACTCAACATCTATGAAAAAGATGACAGGTGAAGACTAGTTAGTTTCCTTCTCTTATTCTCATCTTGTCAGAATCTCACTAAAAGTTGTCTATCTGCAAAAACAGATTGACTCCAAAAATTGGGTTTCCATGGTCTGAGATCCGGAACATCTCATTCAATGACCGTAAGTTTGTGATCAAGCCCATTGACAAGAAGGCTCCCGACTTTGTGTTTTTTGCACCACGTCTCCGCATTAACAAGAGGATTTTGGCACTGTGCATGGGAAACCATGAACTGTACATGCGGCGTCGCAAGCCAGACACTATTGAGGTGCAGCAGATGAAGGCCCAGGCTCGGGAAGAAAAGCTGCAGAAACAGCAAGAGAGGTCTCTTGTATCCCTTCTGCTTTTCATCTTTGGTTATCTTTGTGTGGCCCTGATAATGATTTTGTCATGTTGATGCATAGGGAGAGGTTGCAGAGGGAAATACATGCTCGTGAACTAGCTGAAAAGAAGCAACAGGAATATGAGGACAGGATTAAGATGATGCAAGAGGAGATGAAACGCCGGCAAATTGGTCTGTCCTTTTCTTGCCCTATTTCAGGGTTACCTATGAAAGGATTTGTTGAGCACATATCAAGTACTTTATGCCCTTTAGATATATTCCATTGCAATAGATCTATTACCTGACTTTGAAAAGCAGGAATTCTATAGCAAATTACATAACATTTTGTCCAGCGTTGGAAGCATTGATACTAGAAGTTTGGAGAAGCACAATAAGCACTTAATTATTCCCTACTTATAATCTTTCACAGGGTATGGCTATAGAAAAATCCTTGGCTTTCAACCTATATAGCCTTACCTCAGTGGAGCAATTATTACAATGCTTGTGCATTGCAGATATTGATCTACTAGTATTCTCAACAGACCGTTCAAAATGTCATATTAAAAGATTTCAATCACTGTGAGGTTACAATAAATTAATCAAGAAATAGGAAGTTTGATATGATCACATCAGAAGATATGTGATAAAGTTTTTCAAGCTTGCATGATCATTGGACAAGAAATGTGAAGACATTCACTAACTACTTGCATGGACTTCTGTCCATTTTCAATATCCAACCACAGCCTTTTGCTTTGCTTAATGAATTCAAATAAAATTTCTGGTGACTGATTAAAATCTATTCAGAGCTGAAACATGGATTGCAATTTTTTGCATTTTGCAATCCTAGCTTCCTGCAAAGAAAGGAGGAGTTCCAGGCTGTTCTAGGGGAGGCTTCCCCTTAATGCAGATGTGCAACCTTATAAATGCATCACTTCAGGGAGGGATTTAAAGACCATACCATTAACCTATGCACTAGGTACTTATATTGCTTAACGGCTGAGAAGGTGATTACAGCTGTCTGAGAGCATATAAAAGCAGATTGACATATCACACTTGCTATGACTGCTTATGAATTGGGTGTGTCAGTATCAGATGGGAGCATTGAATGAAATTTAGGCTGAAACTAAGCCTGGGTCACCAAGTAGTGTATCTAGGATTCAAATTTTAAGTCAAAGTCATTTATTTTTTGGATTTTAACAGTCTCAAATGTAGGGATTCAAAATCCTTGGTTAGGAAAAAAATTGAGGGCAATTAGTATACCAATGAGAAAAATCCAGTGGCCTAGGGAATGCACTGATTTTCTTGCCTTGGAGTTCCTTGAATCCCTTAGATGTAAAATGAAAGGGTCCTTGAAAAATCACAGGGAACCCATTGCAAAAGATGCATGCATGAAAATAGGAATGTTGTTCAACAATACAAATACAGTGGCCCATGTTTACTCACTGACTTCACATCCAAGCAAAAAATGTAATATTCATTTCAACAGCCTAGGCCTACTTCCTGGTTATTGGCTGGTCCAAAGCCTTGAATTAAGTATATATTATGATGGTACTAGTTATAAAAGTAAACTAGTTGCTGTAGCTACACTCTTGAGTGTTTGGTATAATAAAAAAAAGGAAAAGTTCATGCATCTTGGAAGCAACCAAACAGACAGAAACTCCATCTGAAGACATTCATGAGTCTGGGGATGAAAGTACCAGTTTAGTCTAAAATGCACCTTTTCAGTGCTAACTGAAACTACAAGGTGTACCTGGCTTGCTATTGTTTCCTACTTCTGCCAGTTATTCACCCACTCATAGTGGTATGTGAATATAAAATAATGAAACATTTTAAACTTAAGAACAATTAAATATTGCAAATACATATGATTGGAAAACTCTTTTCAAGAAATGTCATTTTACTTTTTACTTGAAGTATGATAAGAGAGATGTTCCAAGTGTTACAGCACATATGTTGACCATATTGTCAATGTTTTCATCCTTCATGTCAGGAATGGTATAATCTATGACAGTGGTTCTCAACCTTTTCCTTCCTGCAGCCCACCTTAAGAACTGGAAAGTGATCCAATGTCCACTATAGACTTCAAAAGTAATATAATTTCTGTTATTATAACTGTTAATTGCTATTTTTAAATTTACAGATACTTGTCACTTCCCACCTGCTGTATCTCAGTGGCCTGCAGGTTGAGAACCACTGATCTAGGACTATGAAGTTTGGATTCATAATATTCTCCACTATAAGAATAATTTAGAGTAAATCCATTATGGTTGAGTAAAAAATTATCATTAACCAGCCATTTTAAGAATCTTGTTGGAAAATTTTAATATGGTCCATGTAAGAGACTTGTGTCACCTAATTTGCCTCATTGAGCTTCAAAATATTTGAAATTCTGAAATTTCCAGATGTCCAAGGAAAATATCCCAAAGAAATGCAAAATGAGCAGTTTTTGAATGTTTACCATTACTATCAAAATTTAACACTTGAAAAATATAAGCAATATGCATAGAGACTCACCAAAGGAATTGTGAATACTTGTAAAAATGTTATTACAATCAAACTAAGTCAAATTATGTCCAAATCCATTTTGAAAGTGGGGAAATGGAATGCCAATAAAGCCAACTTCAGCTATAATGACAATTTTCCCTGATCCCATCAACGACGTTATAGCCAAATTTGACTGTATATTAGAGATGATGTATGTGCAAAATCACTGAAATTTTAACTACTTTTGGCAATTTTTGATGATATTTAAAGAATAATAAAGAAAATAAAAAATCTGCTGAGGCTAAGAAAGAATAGAAAGGTTTGATCAAGTTTTTCCTGTTTGCTTCCTAGTATACCAGTTTCCATTTTGGCTACAATGCAGTTCATTTTTTTAATTATCTAATCACCTTCTTTGACAGACTGCTGAAAGCAAAATGGCTGCCTGCAAAACAAAGTGATTTCTTGCTATATTCTTGATGCTCTGCATCATATTTTATCCATAAAATTTTAAGGGGGTTTTTGCCAAAACTTTGTGAAAGGGGTACTTGGTACACCCTCTTAAGATTTGCTGAACATCTTTGGAAAGATCAGGCACAGACTCTGAAATAGTATCACTTTGTACTAAGCACAAAACTGTCAAGTTTTTAAATGTTCTGTATGAAAGACACAAAGGAGCAATCATTAACCCTTTGAGGAGTATTCCCATATATTTATGGGCTGATGCCATCATGCCCTCCATATATTCGCTACAGGGGATCTTGCAGGCATTGAAAAAACCCACTCCTCAAAGGGTGAATACAGTTGAAATTAACTCTTTATTCTCAACACTTGAATAGCCAAGTGTGATCTCACTTTCCTTGAAGAGATAAGTTTCCTGAATTATGTGCATTTTATAGCTCTGTTGTAGATTTGCCCCATATAATGCTGTCATACTCAATCATCTGTGTGAGTTTTTTTTGCTTGTTTTAGAACTTGCTGAAGCTCAAGAGACAATTCACCGCCTGGAGGATCAGCTGAGGGAACTGCAAAAGGCAAAGGAGGAGCTGGAGCTTCATCAATCAGAGCTGGGTGACATGCTGCACCGCCTGGAGGAATCAAAGAACATGGAGGCAGCTGAAAAGGCCAAGTTGGAGGACGAGATTCGCATGAAGCAGGAGGAAGTGCAGCGCATCCAAGATGAGGTGGCTCAGCGAGATGAGGAGACACGTCTCCTACAGGAGGAGGTGGCTGAGGCCCGACGCAAGCAAGAAGAGGCAACAGCTGCACTCATGGCAGCCAACACCCCACAACATCATCATGTGCAGGAAAGCGAACATGGTGAAGATGATGAGATGCCCAATGGGGATATCTCACGGGACCTGCGCACCACAGATGAGGACATCCTTGATCCCATTGAGGACCGACGGACCATGCAGGAAAAGAATGAGAGACTCCAGTCACAACTCAAGGTTTGTGCTTCAACTTTCTCTTTCCTGTCTATAATTCAAAATGTGGAATTATTACTTTGGAGATGCACTGTTTGCTGCTGCTGGACACTTCAAGCTAGTATTTTATTTCAATGGATGATCTGGAGGAGAAATGAATCTCTGTGCATTCCTTTGCAAGTAAATTCAAGAAATGAATGTTTTGTGTTATGCTATCATCACCATTGATCTTCATGGACAGTTCCAATAAATGGCTCAATTGTGTTTAATGTGGAAAGATATTCCAATTTGTGTTAACTTGTTTAGAAAATCAGTACTTGACAACAAAAAAAATCTAATATAGACAATCTTGACTGATAATGCTTTTAAGTATGTTCCAGATATAATAGGCTGAAGTTTGGTACACAAGTACTTGAGATTCTGATTTCAGGAAAATCCTGCTTTTGGGTATGGTTCCCTGGGGGCAGTTTTCTCAAAAAAATTCTGCTTCATAAAAATGGTTCTTATAGTTCTGCTACAAAGGTACTGTATGAAATAAATTCTATGGGACAACTTTGAGGAGAAGCTGAGAATTCTCCTTCAACCCTTGCTCTCTAAAGAAAAACTTGGAACTGCTGGTAATTATCTTCCAAAGGGGGCAATTACTCCCAGTTTCACATTTACTGTTGAATCCCTGATGGAGATTTCATTTTGGAGCGAGGGGAGGGCTTTGTTTTAATATGGGTATATGGGTGAAACTTCAAAAGGAGTTGTGATGTTAACATAAAGTCAGTTGTGGGACTTTTTTTTGCAGTTGAAGGTGCATTAAATAATATTTTGCAAGTAGTTGTCAATGCTCCTCATGCCAGTTTTGTGACATAACAGTGAAATATTTCTCAAATGCATTGTTGTCGACTTAAAGAGTTATATATTAGTATGTGAGTCTTTAAAGGATAATAAATACTGGGTGATGCCAAAAAAAAGCATTCTGTTTGAGACTTTATAAGACTTGCAGAAATTCTGCATTTGTGTAGCATGCTGAAAATCACTCTGAAGTTTATATTGATAAAGTTTAGAAGTCTCTAGGTTGTTTGGGTGAAAAGCAACAGTAATTGAAACTTCAATAAGAAGACTCTGCTTTTCCATGCATTGGGAGGCAGCTTCTCCCTACTGTGGAGGTTGACCAAAGTCTATTTCAATGTTCCTTTGGCTGCAGTGGTTGATATTACTCATACACCAAGTTCTAAAAAATACTGTAGCACTGTGACATCACTTGGGTGACTTAGGGAATTATTGCCTCAAACTTTACACCATAGTTTATTCTGTGATTATAGGCAATAGGAAAATAGCACCTTCTTTATTGGCCTTGTTTCTACATTCTGCTGCCCAACATGTCCTGGAGAATTTGCACTCTCTGTCATACCTTGTCTTGAGAGGTTCTGCACAATTAAAGGGCTACAAAACAGTCTGTAAATGCTTGATTGATGTGAGAACACTTGGACAAGTATTGGACTAATTATTTCTAAAGAAATAGATAGGTTTCACAAAATATTGCATTTTTCATGTGCATTTTCATTATGTTGTCAAAGAATTTCAGGGTTTTTTTTATTGAGCAGTGAAAGATCATTTGAAGCGAAAATATAAATGGATTTTGTCTGTCAGTCACAACAGGGGTTAACCCTCTGCGACTGATGAAAACTTGCAGTATGCAAGAAAAAACCATCACTGTGGTAAAAGGGGTTCTTTAAAAGAAGGCCTGGGAAGGAAAAGACTCCAGTCATTCCATGTCAAGTGGTCCAATTTTCACCAGGTTGGTTGCTGCACCAACTGGGATTTTTGCAGTTAAAAATCATGTGTACTGGGGATTATGAGAAAAGAATTAATACAAAATTTCAGCTGTCTAGGTCCAACAATCTTTGAGATATGCCCTTTGAAAGTTTGAGAGGAAATGAAGACATGACCCCTCAAACAAAAAATATCTCTCAAACTACTTCAGCTAGAAATACGAATTATAGCTCCTTTCAAAGCGAATAACCTGGCATCTTTAACTTTCTCTGCGGGTTCTTTTGTGCCTTACTTGGGAAAAAATTACAATTTTATTAATTTCATGAAAATCAAATTTTCAGCTCTAAAAATTCATAGTAAATATGTATATAACTCCACCAGATTTGGGTTGTCTATCATACTCTATGAGAGAAATTCATAGATAAATGTATATTGTTTTTAAGTCACTTCAAAACTCTGCTATGTGTACTTAAAGTTGCACATTTTGCTACATTTGTTCAACTTTGACCTTCAATAACTTTTATTTGATTCAAAGTACAGTTTTGCTTATCCCATAGAATGGTAGATCTTTCATAGTTCTATTTGAGCCATATAAAGATTGATCGTGTTTTTCTGAAATCCTGATCGTTGAGATTTTTTTCTTCTTGGCCATCTCAAGCGAGATTCACCATCAAGCACTTAACTCCACTTCAATCATGTTCAAGCTGGAAAACACATTTGCACATTTTATAAAAAGTCTTGCTATTTAATATGGCATTGAAATTAAATTATTTTGAATACAAAAATTTCAAGACCTTACCCAGTTTTTCAGACACACCATCAACAACATCTCTATATTTCCCTGCCTGTTTCTCCTAATGTCTTCATTGCATTTTTAAGTGTATCTTGCGAGGAGCTAGAAAAATGCTGAGAATTGGCATCCTGGAAAACAGGATGCTCTTTTTTGCACCATCCAATTCAATGCTGCTAACCCCAGGTTTTTACAGCAATGTCAATGTAACTGGAAGGAATGAGACATCACAATGAAAATTGTATTGAGTTTTACATCTTTTAAAACTGAGCATCAAATGCCAAAGTTAATTATTCATTAATAGCCTTTAGATTTACATACACTGGTGGGCATCAAAGAAGAGTTACATGTTAAGTCTTGGAAGCAATATAAGAGCTGTGAAACTAAGAAAGATCCCTTTGTCCAAAAAGTCTGCAAGTCCACCCATTCATCTGACTCTTAGTCATGCCTATGAAATTATTGGAAAGTTGTTGACTTGTTATTTTGAGAACTGGGGCTTTGCAATGTTTTCCTGAAAGTGCCTAATGTCATGCACAGATGCTGAAGAAGGACTTGGAGTTGACACGAGATGAGAACAAGGAGACCCAGATGGACCGGCTCCACAAGGAGAATGTGCGGCAGGGTCGTGATAAGTACAAGACCCTGAGGGAGATCCGCAAGGGCAACACCAAGCGACGGGTGGACCAGTTTGAAAACATGTAAAATAATTAAAAGAGCGGATTTGAATATCCTTCCATCCATTGCAATCCAATTGAAACGAACATACAACACCCCCCACTCCTTGTGTCTGCATGTTGGTTGCCAAAAAAAAAAGGAAAATTTTTTCAGACCCCATCTGAGTGATGGCTCAGTTGTCCGTCTCGTGCCTTTGTCCATCTTCAATCCTGCCTTCCTCTTTCCTTCCTGTTTTTTGCTTCAAGAAATTTTAAAACAGAAGGGCTCTATTTTTTGAGTGCATTCCAGGCAGAGAAGAATGAAGTTTTCCCCTGAGAATCAGAGCTATTTTTTAGAAAGAGGTTGAAGTGGTGAATATTTTTTGCTCATGACTCTGGATTTTTTGCGCGCGTGTACGTGTCCGAGTGCCATCCTCTTCCGATCTGGGTGTCTGCTTTCCCGTGTCCAACACTTGCTTTGTTCTTTCGTCTCCTTATATTGTAATGATGCATGCTGCAGAATTTATTTTTTGTTCTGATTTCTTCCTGTCCTCCCCAGCCCATCTGTTTTCTTCTGGCATCTGAAAAGGTGCATGCCTTTTGTATCATGTCTCTCCTTCCCCGTAAAGAGGAATAAAAGTCCTAAAGTATTACCATGGCACCTATCTGCCTTTCCATCACTGTCAAGAAAAACTTGGGACATATAGAAAAAAAAAACCGATGGGTTTATTTTGCGAAAATAAATAATCTCAGAAGCGAAATTGAGGTGTCATGATTTCTCCTCCGACAGTTCCGGCTGGGTTGACACGAGTTCTGTATCTGTTCGGAAATGAAAGAAATGCGGAAAAATAAATTTAAAAGGACAGTAAACATCCCGCGTTTCTTTTCTAACTTCATTTCAAGGGTGCCCTGTAGGAGGAATGCCTACTGCTCATCATTGGAAACCATTTGCAAAGTGGAATTTTTAAGGAAGAAAAACATGAAATTGCATTATTCCAAAGCGCTTGGTATTCCTACATTGTGAACTGAAACTTACTTGAAAGCACCAGGATGAAGCAGTTATTTTCCTTCAAAACTTACGATAAGAAACGAATAGTGCAGCGGTTCTCAAACTGGGTCGAAGGAGTCCCAGCGGGATTGGAGATAATTAAGAGGGAATAAATTTAAACGAGATTTACATTGCGTTTTCATTTCACTTTAATGAGCAGCCCAGGATGGTTATCCCAAGTATTTCTATACCATACACTGGATTTCTCTTCAGCCTAAAAATTGGGGGTCGCAAGCTTTTGGCTTCCGTGAAACGGGGTTGTAGACTCCAAAAGTTTAAGAACTGCTGGAATAGTGACTTCGTTAGAAGGCGTGGCCTCGTGTAAAAAAGATTTCACATTTTGCCAATAAAAACGTAAAATCTAATTGTTGCGTTCGGGAAAGCTCCCAGGCTGACAATCGCTGACAATTGTAGTTTTCGTCTAATACTTGGAGTCGCCTGGAACTACGACGAAACCATGCAGCGAAGTAGATTCTGAAATGCAAGGGTGATTCGTATCAAAACAGGACATTGACGATACGATGCAAAGGAAACCGTGTAAATCGTATTCGGTCGAGTGACAGCATCATCTAAACTTGATCGAAAATTCAGATGGTGCTGCCACCTGTGGCCAATGCACGGAACTTTAAAGATGACTGCAGCAGGTATGGACGGCATAAAGGAAAAATCCTTGCAACCAGATGCATTCAGTGATACGTTTCTTGGTCGCAGATAGCGTAAATGAGAAAGAAAATCATCGCAGACTGAGAGCAATGTATGGAGAAAACTGTACCGTCTTGCCAGGGGCGATGTTTATGAGTGGGTGTGTATGTCCCAAATCGGGACAAGTGTCGCCGGCGCGCACCGCGTTCGGTCCGATTCCACCGTCCCGTGATGCCAGAGGCTTTAGGGCGCATGGAGGACTTGGTCTGGCAAGATCGGCACCTTACGATCGATGCGATTGCCAACCGGCCGCGGTTCCGCGCACCACACGGTGCACGAAGTGTTAGATTTCGAGGAAGTGATTGCACGGTGGGTCCCACGACAGTCGATCGATGCAACAATGAACCTACGGCTGACCGATGCGAAGTCGTCGATTCCCCGTTTCGATGTCGAAGGGGATGGCTTCCTCGATCCAATCGTGACTGGAGACGAAACGTGGGACCACTACCGTCGCGGAGAGCAAACGAGCGGAATGGCCGCCATGGAATGGTGGCCTTCCGAGAGGCGGTGCAATCGTGGCTTCAGGAACAGCCGAAAACGTTCTTCCCTACAGCATCAGGGCTTCGGTGGAAAGGTGGCAGAAATGTATCAACAAGCTATGTAGTAAAATGATGCAGCGATCACGACCGTCGGATCACCATTAAAGGTCATTTCCTTCGATGTCCTGTTTTCATTTGAATCCCTCTCGCATCTCGAACGATTTGATTCGAGGGGCGTTCGACGACGATCATTCCGCGTTAACTCCAAGTTAAGGTTGCATTCACGGACGTCAGCAGTGATTCGAAATGAAAATTCCCGATTCAGAAAAAAGAGGAAAGCCGTTCGTCGCCGTATTCACTAACGAGCACGAAGAAGACCTTCACGTCGGCTGAATATTTTTTGATGAGTTTAATGCTGGCATT